TCAAATAAAGCAAGAAACTTAAAATGTGAATTTAAAATGTTTTATTAGTGTGTATATGGTATATGTTGGGGGAGAGGTACACACATGCCAAGGACAATTTTGTAGGGAAGATTTCCTCCTTTTTATTTTACATAGATTCTATGGATCATGCTGTGCTTGTCGGGCTTGTGTGGCAGGAGCTATAAATACTGAACCATCTTGCTGCCCGGTAGATTTTTTTAATGTATTAGGTGCTGTGGCTTCGTCACCAGGGTTCTATGGATTTGTTTCATTGATCCTTACGTGAGGTGGGGGATAGTGCTAAGAAGTATGTAATATTCCTTGACTGGCCACACCAGAATAGAGACAGAGTGACTCAAGACAGCACTGAGAACATGTGCTGAGTAGGGTCCTAAGTATGACCAGAAAACAAAATGGTATGTTTGATTCTGGTGAAAAACACGTTAGACTGCCTCCTGGCATCTTCCTCAGGCTGACTAAACTCAATCATAACCTGACTAAACTCAGTCATAACCTGGATTAGTTAAGGCAACTCTCTTCTAGCAAACAAAAGCCATGGTGTCTATTTGATAGATATATTTCAAATGCAAGCAAAAGGTGCTTAACAGTTCTTGTGGTGAGTTCAAGAGGGTTTGATTGGCATGTGTCTAGGCAAGCATGGACTGACTCTTAGTAAATGACATGGACTCTTTTAAATGACAGGACATGTTAGCAACTTAAAAAACAAACACTCCTGCCCAATTAAAGTAGTTTCACCATCTGATTGACTAATTTTGCTAGGCTTGGTTTTCAGAGAAAGTAAAGGAGTCAGAGAAGAGTGAAACAGTGTTTGCAGATGTTCAGAGCCGCTCAGGTGAGTTAGAGAGATTAAATATAAAGATGGGAGTATGGTCCTCACGGGAGACATTTCCATTGAAACATTCTTTATAAACATAAACTTTATAAATGTAACATAAAATCTAGTGCAGAGGCTGAGGATATGGCCCGGTTGGTAGAACGCTCTCATCTAACGTGCCTGGGTGCCATCTGTGGCATTTCATAAACTGGGCACGGGGTGCAAGCCTGCAGTCCCAGCGCTTGGGAGGTGGAGGCCAAGGTTCAGACCATCAGTGAAATTTTCAGAACTACGAAAGATCCGATAAATATAATACAAAGGCAGAATATTTGGACAGAGAAATAATTGGCAGTTTTACTTTTTAAACAGTGGATTTCAAGGTCCAGTAGTCAAAACCTTTCTCTACTTCACTAAGAAGATTGCAGAATACAAAATGACATGGGCCACACTATATGCTTTGCCTCAGGTGTTACTGTTTCCCAGATGCCCTGGGTTTATTGTTGCACTCTTAAGCCAAAGCCCAGGGTCCCGGGCTCCTCTGCCACTTTCTCAGTTACATAAGCACTGCTAGACCTAAGGTGTGACTTCGCCAGGCTGCAGGTGGAGGCTAGGTTAAGCTGTGTCCCAGAGGAAAGGAGAAGCTACTGTGGAGCCAGTTTCAAGATCCAGAGGGAGATGGAGAACGCTGCGTGTAATTCCCCGCCCCTTCCTTCTCCCCTGTGTTCTTCCTCGGGCTGTCCTTACTTCTGTCTGTCCAGCCACTTCTGTGTGCTGGAGAACTGACTTCTCTGTGAGACTTGGGGCAGCTTGGTGTTGATGTGCCAGGCTTTGTTCTTTCTGTTTGCCTTTGTTGGTGCTTTGCTGTGGGAGGCTTCACCTCCAGCTCTAGCTTTCATTTAAAGAAGTTACCTTGGAGACAGGTGTTGTTTTGGGGTGAGGGGAAAACAAAGATGTGTACAAAAAATGAAAGTGCCAAGTAATATATATGGAAAAAAGAGAAGACTCCAGTGTATCTATCAACAGTAGTACACATCGAACCCCACTGAGATGCCATTTGCTTGCACGTTAGTTGGCAACAGTGAAAGAGGAACTCACCTGTTGATGGAATTGCAGAAATCCCTGTCGTGTGAGTGTAGAGACAGCATGCTGGCAGAGTTCTGTGTTTGAGACAGCAGTCTTCTGTATGTGCCAGCCATATGAGATGTGTGCTCTTGTATAATAGTGAATTTGAAGGCAAATGAAGCGACCAGTTTAAAAGGAAGGGCTTGAAAGATGAATGGTGCACCCATTTTGTAGGATATCATGGAGATATCAGAAAGAGTAAGTTAAACTAAGTGAATTCTAGAACCATAGCTAGCTATTTTAAGGGAAAATACCCATTATCCTATTTTTATATACCCTAACTAAACAAAACCACTAAATGGGTATTTCCCTCTGTGTGTTGATTTACAACAGCATTTACATTTTTAACCAAGGTATACAAGGATTCACCAACTAGCAAGTCCATTTGCTTAAAGAGTAAGCTTGAATGTACAGTGACTGACTTCTCCTGTGTGTGCCCCTTGTTTGCTGTTTGTGCTGTAATAGGCATTAAAATCAATGAGGTGTTAGGCAGACAGTAGAATGGAAAAAAACAAGAGGGTAGATTTTTTCAAAACAATTTAAAATATATGTAATCTAATTTGTATTGGTAATCCTAAGGAAATAAATGTAAGCTTTAGCCTGATTTCTTGTCAGATTTTTCCGAGAGGTGATATATTAGCTATATGGAAAATTCTGACTGGTTAGTATCTATCAGGCCTTGAGTGGACATGCTTTCTCATGTAACATACCCTCTGAGCGTCACAGCATGCTATAAACTCATTTAAAAAGGAAAAATGAAATAGATGAATAAAAGGTAACTGCCAATTTTTTCATATTAAAAAAGCATCAAGGGCTGGAGGAATGCCTCAGCTATTAAACAGCTAGGCTCACAATCAAAGAAAGCATCACCGAATAGTTTTCAGTTTGTTCTGTTATAGATATTATTAAACTGTATAATAACAGTATTATAGATGTAATTTCAATCATACTTATATCAAAGAAATGATATCACAAAGGGACCTTTAAATATTTATCATTGGCATACTTAGAATAGCATATGGTCTTCCATGATTAAAAAATACATATATACATCAGTAAAAAGTGATAATATCTCCCCCAAATTTTCCCTGCCTATATATATATATATATATATATATATATATATATATATATATATTTTTTTTTTTTTTTTTTTTGAGACAGGGTTTCTCTGTATAGCCCTGGCTGTCCTGGAACTCACTTTGTAGACCATACTGGCCTCGAACTCAGAAATCTACCTGTCTCTGCCTCCCAAGTGCTGGGATTAAAGGTGTGTGCCACCACTGCCTGGCATGCCTGTATATTTTTATTATCAAAGGAAGAAAATATTTTTAAAAATTAGTTTATTAGTACATGGACTGGTAGTTTTTTATTTTGTATGTATGTCTTAAAAACTACATGAAATCGTGCATCAAAATTTTTTTAATGTGTACCTTGCCTTTTCCCAAGAGGAATTAAGGTCTTTTTGCCTAGATCAGTGAACCATTTCAGTATACGTCATGAATGAAACAAACTTGTCTGCTTCTCAGTTGTGTTTGCAGCAGACAGGTTTTCTCTGTCTGCGCTGGAGGCTCTGGAGAGACTAGGCTTGTGTGAGGCTTTCCCAGTCAGGCATCACAGACACTGTCAAGTTCCTCTGGAGGAACTGCATGTATATTTTCAACTTTATCTGTTATTTTTTTTTTTTTTGGTGAATTCTTCAAAAATGAGGAGATACGGTGCCACTCCTTAAAGGATTCATGATGTAAGTTTAAACTGGCAAGTTCAGTAATGTTTTTCCCAAGGAAAACATTTTGAAGAAAATTCCTTTGTAGGTAAGCTTTGTACCAGGACTGTGACAGAAAAACAGAACCAAAGAAGCTAGTATGCCCTGTCATGCCATCCCTTGTGTCATCTGTCGCAAAAAGCATACAGTGTTTTCACATAAAAACATTACATAATCTCTATGAACTCAGTAAGCATCTAATAGCATGAAAGGGATTTCCATGTCTATCTTCCCAGCCTTCTTTGTAAGGAAGTCATCAGAGAAAAATTCTGGATGCTTCCAACTGTTGTGAAAAGCTTTACTGTTCTGTTGGAAGCCTGAATAAAACTCTGCTTTATAATTCACCCTTTAAGGAGTGTGGGTGCTTGCATTTGAGAAGTTAAGGAACTCAACCTGCCAAGCCTTGTAAAAACCTGGTTGGTGTCTACTTGGCATGGCCAACCACTCGGGTGCTTAGGTGGCACCTGTTTATGGGCCCCATGTCCCAGGTATGCTGTAGAAGCTTGTGTCCTCAGTGCATTGGTTAACCAGGCTTATCAGCTTGGGAGGTGGCTTCACACCACTGACATTTGTTGATGACTCTGTGGCAAGCTCTAGAGGTACAAGGATTGAGCAGGAGCAGCGCTGGGAGCTTATTATAAGGGAAAGTGAATTGCTGATGTTAGCACAGACTCCAGATAGCTTCTTATTTCTCAATAAAGAATGGCCACCCATTTGCTCAGTGATAAAGCCTTTCAAATGTTTGCTGTGGCGCCAGTGAGATTTTGAATCATTAAGATTGGCATTGACCAGAATTCAAACTCAGAACATCTAATATGATTGTTCTTATATAAAAAAAAAAGCCAACTTGAGAGTTGTGAGGTAAAATTTATGATCTTACATTGGATCAGTTTGGGTTACTCTTGGGAGAGGGACACACATGCCAAGTTGATTGACAAACCACTAGTGTTAACTGTAATTCTGTTATGCAGTCTGTTTACCAAAGCATAATTGTTCATTAAAAACTTTGCTTTTGCTTGGGGCCTGGAGGATGACCACGGTTAAGAGCACTGGCTGCTATTCCAGAGAACTGGGGTTCAATTCCCAGCACCCGAAAGATAACAACCAACCATCTGCAATTCTAGCTCCAGAGGACCCGACTCCCTCGATTGGCCTCCGTAGGCACTGCGTGCATGTGGTGTGCAGACATACCACATGCAGGCAAAATTGCCCATACACATAAGTAAAAATCTCAAGAAAAAAATTCTTTTTGCTTAATGTTTTTCTCTTATCTTGTAGGAGTTTATTTTGTCTGAAGATTATAACAAGATGACACCTGTGAAAAGCTATCAAGGTAGGTGACGCAGGAGAATCGGAGCCTGCTTTAAAACTGTCTCTTAATAGTTTCCACCCTCAGGAACACTTCAGTTACATGGGGGAGCAAAAAGAGAAACCCTGGGAGGTCAGAAGTAACCCAGTTTGTGAACTAAGTCATTGAGGCCAGAAGAATCCAGCTTCTCTAGAGGTTAAGTACAAAACCAGACTAGGCAGGGTGACTCCAAGTCCGTCATGCTTTCTGGGAATGGTACAGGCTCAGGAAAAGTAGAGTCAGTCTCAGGTTGTTCAGATGAGCCTCATTTCATGTTTGATGAAATGCTTTGACATGTTGGGGTGTGGGTGTGGGTAGAGGCTACAGTTTCTATGGTAAGTCTTAACAATGACTTATTGGCCAGATTCACTCTGTCAATCAGTAGTGTCTGGAGGGGACCTTCATCCAGACCAACAGTATCATGGAATCAGGGCATTGGGTCCTTAAGGCCCAGATGTCATTGTATCCAGATAACTTGAGCTCATTCATTTTTTGTGGCCTCCCAACATCTCGTCCATGACCTCCAAAGACATTCTGCTAGCATGGGTTTGGAAGGGTCCAAGCAATGCTTTCTTTAAGATTTGGAGCTAAATCTATTTCCCTGTGGTTTTATTCCTATACATCACTAATCAAATATTTATTGAGTACCTACAGTGTTCCATTAGCTCAGGAGTGTAACAGCGAACAGAAATATATAGTGTGTATCTATTAGAAGCTTATGTGAGAGATTTTAGAATGTGCCCTTCCAGTTTTTGCTTAGCTTGTTGGAACCACAGACACTTGAGTTTCACCTCTCTTTAACCTCTTAATAGCTACCAAAGGGCCTGTTCTATTCCTTCTCCTTTAATCATCTTCGTTCACGTTTCTAACAAAAGCATCTTATGTCTCAACTGTTTTTTTTTTTTTAATAAGCTGTTGTTCTCGAAAAACAACTGTTTTGACTGTTTTACTCAGATTTGAGGTCTCATATTGTACCATTTGGACCATTTTCAAATACAACCTGGTGTGTCATGTGACTTTTTATATGGTTCCCAATGATCATTCTCTTCCCCTCATAAGGGTGAGCTAGACTTAGAACATGGTAAGTGATGGAGATCACTTCCAAGATTATGTGCAGAGACTGGGCCATGCATGGCACTCACCTTCCTGCTTCCTAGTGTGCATGTCTGATGATGTGAGCTATCCTGTGGAGAAGCCTGTGTGCTAATGAGCCAAGAAGCATCTCATCAGCAGTCAGTGAGGGACTAATACTCCCTGCTCAGCAGCCCATGAAGAATTGAACCCAGCCAAAAGCTCTGTGAGATTGATTAGAAACCAGCTCACCCTCTGTTAAGCTTTCAGATGACACCCCACACACAGTGCTTCCCTCTAGGTAAAGCCTTGTGGTTGGAGCATTTTTGACCCACAGAAACTCTGAGGTAATAAGATGCTTTGAGACATCAACTTTGGGATAATTTGTTACACAGCAGTAGATGACTAGTGAATGCATGTAATCTGCTGGGTAGATCCTCCTTCTCTCCTCTCCTGGGCACTGTTGTAATCATACAGAGGTGAGTTCAGGCAGCCATTTTACACTGTGGCTCATGTGGGGCAGGTACCACTACAGCGTCCTCACAGGATGTTCTTAGGAACTTTTCTTTTTATAGTAAATCTTGGACTTACCAATCTGTTACCCATCATTTCCTTTTACTTAGCCTGTCAACTCAACTTGTCAAGATAGACTGAAATTCTAGTTGTCATTACATGTATTACCCTCCTTTGCCTTTGTATTTTTCTTTCTTGCACTGTTGTTAAAGGTACTGGTGAACCCTCCAGGAGCACATCTGAAGAGCCTGTTATTACTGGGATCCGTTGTTCATGTGCTCTTACATGGCAGGTTTTCTAGCATAGTCTACATGCTTCATGTCAGATAATTATAAAAACTCAATAACCAGACCCTTGTGGATGGTTTTTTCACAGACTCCTAGAGCTGATGGTAAAATAGTATATTTTTATTGTTTCCTTTAATCCAATGTTAAGTTTATGAGAAAAAGTTTCACATTTGCCAAAGCAAAGAGAAAAACCAAATCACAGAGAGTTGGTTATAATGTGCACTGATTTGCAGCTGCCGTGGAAAAATAGAGCACCAGGAATAACTAGTTGCCTGTGTATGACCATGCCCTTTGCAGCAAGAGGTACAGCCTAGAGTCTGAGTAAGATGAAAAATTGGAACTGAGATTTCTATAGAAAGTCCACAAAGGAGTATGTCCTTATGAGAAGGAAGGGATGGAAATCCCCTGCTCCAGGAGACAACAGGGGAATTTATTCTGATCTCAACTCTATATATAAGAAAAATCTTCTATAAGTCAAAACCTATCTGAAAATTCTTGCATATGAAATACAAGTCTAAAACAACTATATAGAGCTAGAAGCTCTATGTTTTGAAAAATGATTATTAAAAATAGTTATTGATCAGTGATACTCCTAAGCACCACCAGAAATGAATACAGGCCTCTTTAAGACAAACTGCGTACGTGTCCCTAGAGGAAAACAAAAACAGTTGATATAAGGCTGTAGGTCAGTGGCAGAGCCTTAGAATCGAGCTCTGGACAGAACAGTTAAGCAAAAGGACTGCACAGGATTTACTTTTACTTTTAAAAAGTATTACAAAAGCAGAAAAAGCCATTACAAATAAATGTTAGCAGAAATCACAAACAGAAGAATGAGAATGTCAACAACCTTGGAACATGATCAGTAACCTGAAAAAGATTATAGCATCATATTGTAAGCTTTTAAAGAAAACTAAGGCTGAGTGTGGTGGCTCATGCTTTCTCCCTCAGTCTAGATTGTGTCCTATAAATACTGATACCTTTTTTTTTTTCATTTGTATTCAGTTTTGCTTTAAATTTGATGATGAATAGACCCTTGGTAAATCCTAAAACATTTGGAAGGTAAATAATACACTTCTAAATAATCTGTAGGTTAAAGAAGAAATCATAAAACATTCTGAACTGAATACAAATGAAAAAAGGATAACAATATTTATAAAATATTACCACAGCAACACCTAAGGGGAGAGTGACAGCTCAAACATAACATGACATCATAAAAGAAGCAAGTCCTCAAATCAGTGACCTTGATTTACACCACATGCATGCATGCACACACACACACACACACACACACACACACACAAAAGAAGAAAGAAAGAAACTTAGAAGGAGGAGAAGAGAGATTATTGCAGCAGTTCATGATGTATAAAACAGATAGTACAGAGAAGCCAGTGACATCAAAGGCTATTTTCTGAGATTAATAAAAGTGGTAAACTTCTAGCTAGATTAGCAAGGGGGAAAACAATAGAAATTATCAGTGTTAGGAAAGAATGAACTAACACTCTTATAGAAACTCCCTCTCTATGCACAGGGTGGTAACGAATTCCTTGGATACTATGAACTGACATCATCGAGAAACTCCGTGTGTGATACTGTGTTGATATGTGTTGGTAAATAGAACAAATGAAGTCAACAGATCTTTGAAAGTCACAAACTGCAGATCACTCAAGAAGAAATAGATTTTTAAGCTCTATATGTGTAAAAAGAAGTTGAGTTTTTAGTTTAAAATCTTCCCTTAAAGAAAACTTGTATTAGGGTTCTCTAGAGGAACAAAATAGAGAGGGGGAAGATGATTGATGGATGATGGATGGATGGATGGATGGATGGATGGATGGATGGACAGATGGATGGACAGACAGACAGACAGACAGACAGATTTATTAGAATGGCTTACAGGCTGTGGTCCAGCTTGTCCAACAAGGGCTGTCTACTAACAACCAAGGAAAGGTCCAAGAATCTAGTAGATGTTCAGTCCATGATGTTGGATGTCTCCACTGGTCTTCAGTATGCAGCAGAATCCCAAAATAGTCAGCTGTAATGGCAGTAAGGAATGGATTTGTTAGCAAGAGGGAGAGTAAGCAGGCAAAGAGAGCAAGCTTCCTTCTTCTGTTCTCTTTACATTCTTAAACCTAGATATATTCCTACATGGCTTACTGGTTTTATGGAACATTAAAGAAAGGAAATATGTGAAACTACAGGAATTCTTTTAGAAATTGAGAAATAAAAGACTTCCCAGCCCATTGTTAGGAAATCAGTATTTCCTCATACTAATGCTATTCAAGATCAATATGAGAAAACTGGATGCCATTATCCATATAGACAGATTACACAAATGTAGATTTCACTACATCCAGCAATATATACAAAAGAATACATTATGGTCTGTTGAGGTTTATCTTAGGAATATAGTATTGGATTCACAATAAAAACTCAATGGCAGCCAGGCACAGTGATAGACACCTTTAATCTCAGCACTCAGGAAGTAGACAGAGCTTTCTGAGTTCTAGGCCAGCCTAATATACATAGAGAGTTCCAGGACAGCCTGGACTATACAGAGACTCTGCCTCAACAAATAAATACACAGGGTGGGGAAAGGCAACACAGGAAGGGCATTTGGTGAAATCATGGTCACAACTCAGAAATCCAGGAGAGAGAAAAGCACCTCACCAGCATAGTGAGGAACTGCTGCAAACCTAGCCCTGGTGGCATGGTGATGTGAAACATGAACCCTGCTAAGACTAGGATGCCCCTCTCCCCACTTCCTGTTTAGGAAGCCAGACAGCAAGCCCAGATTTGCTTAGTGAGAAGAATCTGCCTTCCAAGAATTTCCTTCTGCGTAAAAGAGTTGTCTCCTTAGAGTTTATGTGTGTGTGTTTTGAGTTTTGAGAGTTTGTTTTGTTTTCCCACTGACAGGCACACACTAAGAGAACTGACTTCACCATAGAAACGAAGGTTTGCTTTGCTGTTTGCGTGTGTGAGAGGCAAGGGGGTAGGATTCAGATATGCCACTTTCTGTCCCTGCAGTGACTAAAAGAATGTGTTTAACACTCTGCAATTGGCAGATGGTTTTACTGCAGTGGGACTGCAGATAGCCACCCACACTGTCTAATTCTCCTTGATAATGGAGGTGGAAAATCCACTCCTGCCCCAGCAAAGCCCTAGCCAGGCTTCAGAATGTCCTTCCTGGTCATTCTATTCCCTTGTGTTTGTTGCCTGGCATCACATAGTAAGAAGCAAAATTCTTCCTGCCTGCATTTATTAAGTAATGGAGAAGCCATGAGACCTTAGCCAAACGACTAATCCTCACTAAACCTCAGTTTGCCCAGGTGAGCAACAGAGAGATGGCTAGAAGCTATGAGTAGTCTCTTCTCACCCTGAAGTTGTACGATGCAACAATTCTTCCAGAGGGGTTGTGCTTCTGTATGAGTAACCAACCATAGGGAGTGACTCTCTCTCATATGTACATACTTTTGTGTAACAGGCATTTCATTCTTAGGCTCAGTAACTTTTCTATTGTTCTAAAACACTATGACCAAGTCAACTTAAAAAAAAAAGGCATTTATTTTGGCTTATAGCTCCTGAGGGAGAGTCCATGATGGCAAAACAGAGACATGGAGCTAGGAACAGCTGAGAGCTAACATCTTGATCCACAAACTGGAAGCAGAGAGATTCCACACTGAGAATGGCATGAGTCTTTTGAGCCATCAAGGCCCATCCCCAGTGACCCACCTCCTTTAACAAGGCCACACCTCTGAATCCTTCTCAAACAGTTCCACCAACTAAGGGCCAAACATTCAAATATATGAGGCTATTATTAAGTTCTCATTCAAAACACTACCATTCCGTTTATTCTCCAAGCATTTGGGTTCTGATAGGAAGCTGTCAGAATTATTTTATGAGTCTAAAAATCAGAGTTCATCAAAAAAGATCAATATATTTTTCCTCTGGGGAGAGTGCACATAAACTTACCACAAGTCACTATGTTGTAAATGTCATTTCTAATGTGTCTACCTTAATTCAGTAACCCTAGCATGCTTGGCCAGGCTTTGGAAACTTTCTGAGGCGGTAATTCTTAGATGTATACAAGCAAGGGCATGAGGGCAGGACACCGAGAAGAGTTGGATTATTAAAATCAAAACTAAACAACAAGTATTCATAGGGCATCCTTCCCAACTGCTAAGATACTGTTTTTCCCTGTCCCTAATGGCTTTGTCCTTTAGCCTCTTCCGGGGTAGGGGAAAGAGAAGGCTGTAACACTGGGCTACAGTTTTCTGGGGTGGGGGAAGAGAAGGGTGTAACACTGGTGTACAGTTTTTGTTTTCTACAGGAGGCTTTCTCAGTCATTTTTCTCATCTCTTAATTTTTTAGCGCATCAGAGCAGAGTGACGATGGTCTTGTTTGTTCTGGAACTGGAGTGGGTGCTGAGCACAGGACAGGACAAGCAGTTCGCCTGGCACTGCTCTGAGAGTGGGCAGCGCCTGGGAGGTTATCGCACCAGTGCTGTGGCCTCAGGCCTGCAGTATCCTTTGCTGGACAAAGCCCTTTCTCCTTGATTCATGATAATTTACGATATGCACAACTTAAAGGTTTTCTGTCTTTATTTACTGTTTTTTTCCCTGTGTGAGAAAGATGCTCAGAGAACTTCCTAAGGCTCAAGGTATTGGGGGTTTCCATCGAAGGGGAGTGGAGCAAGGCAACATCATTAAAGTAACAGGCCAGCTGACTGCTGTGACATAGTTCTGACCCCTAAATAGGACACAGCCCGATGTTTGATCCCTAGCTGTCAGGAGGACTGACAGATAGACATGCAGCCATCAACAAAATACAACATCCAGTTTAATAGACAAGTGACTTCCCTTGCAGGACATCTCCTAGTGTTATAAATGCCCCATTGGTGCTTTGGAGAGTGGTCCATGAGATTCCTGTCTGTTGAGAAATATTTGGTGGCCAGTGGGATGAGTCAGCAGGTAAAGATGCTTGCTGCAGCTGCACGAGCTTGCATCCGGAGTTCAGTCCCCAGAACTCATGGGGAAGGAGACAGCTGACTGTTGGAAGTTGTCCTCTTAGGTCCACAGGCTGCACACTGCGGTACACCCTAATAAAAATAAATTAAATTTTAAACATTTCTTGATACAGTGACCTAGCTGTCTCTAAATGGTATCCTGCAGGCTCTGTTCCAGGCATGAGACTTTCTCAGAATCCATTTTACAATATTCTTGTCTCCCACGTTGTCAGTCTGTGAGCGCCTACTAACACCAGAGAAGCTCACTTCTTGCTGTCTGGGCTCTGAGAAGTTGAGCATGAGTTGATGTAGGACATGTTTCTTTCACAGCAGGGACGAAAGTTCACTTGTATAGAAAAATGGAATCCCCCCATTTCTGACAGGGAGAATATGGAAACAGATACTGTCCATAGATGCAGGAACAGTGAGGCCTACTTTTAGTTTATCTCTGTATTTATAAAGTATCCTGTCAGTTGCCAATGAAACGACAGTGTGCTGTAATTTCCTTACACCTGAGTGGCACTGGGTATGTTTATGGGTACACAGAGGACACAGAGGCTATTGCTGATGTTTTCTCACTGAAAGGGCAAGGGGAAGGGACCAAGATGACCACAGTGGAAGGTTGTAAAGATGGAGAGTTAGCAAGACGAGAGTCAGAGTTGACAGGGAGAGGGAACTTATCCTTGACCACATGAACATAGAAGACCCTTCCTTATGCTTCAGATGAGCTAACTGAAGCCTAGACAGGACCACACTGCTAATAAGAACAGGACTGCTGTTCCTGAGGTCTCTTCCATTGGACTTCTGCTTTTCTCCCTTTGCTTTTTAATACCAGAACCAGTAGCATCCTGTGGCTTGTACTGAGGCTGGCATCACTGGCCAATGTAATGGTGTATCCTCCTTTTATCTTGTGTCTTGCCTAGCCAAACCAGCCAGTGTGAGCAAAGACACAGATGACTTTTCAAACTGTCTGAAAATAAGAAACAAAATTTACAATTAAACAAAATTACAATTAAACTCACCTTGATCATACTAACCTTTGTTTAAAGTTGCAAAAGTCACTTTCATTTTATGACATTTTACTAAGGACAGAATCATGTTACTGGTTACCAAACACCCATGTGTGAGTGTGTGTGAGTGTGTATGTGTGTGTGTGGGGGGGAGTTTGTATGTATGTGTGTGTATGTATGTGTATTCACAGAGCCCCTTCCAGAAAGAGCATGCCCCACCAAATTTGCCTTTAATGGCTCCAGTTTGCAAACTACAATGCCAATTCTTACTCCTGAGTATCTTTAACTGCTAAACATTGGTGGCATGGCAGTCCTATGCTTTTGCTAAGGGGGCATAGGGTGTGGTCTGAGCCAAGAACTATGTGATCCTTCCAAAGTCAGGGGTTCCATCCCTGCCCACTCCCTGGAACTGGCTGGCAGATAGACAGATTTTTAGGCAAACCCCAACACTATCCCTGTCCCACCTCCGCTTGTTTCCTTCTCTTCCTCTTGCCACTCACCACTTTTTAAGAGTTTTGTATGTGTGTGTTTGTTTGTTAACGAAAGGAGAAGCAACATAACTGCAGAGTGAAAGCCTTACCTCTTTGTCTTGCAGATGACACAATACTGTCCCATCTCCACCTGTCATTTATCAGAGTTATTAACAAGTCTGACTGTTCAGACCACATTCATATGTTCTCTTCTTCCAGGCCTCTCAGTAGAGAATAGTAGTGACAATAACCAAAAACTCAAGCCAGGAAACAAAGGAGCCAAAGAGACTGGCCAGGTGAGCTCTCAGTTTCCAAGAAATATGACCAATCATAATAACAGTGGTAATGAAGAAGAGGAAAGGGAGAAAACATCTGAGCTGAACTTCCCTCAGAACTCAGCGAGCTTCTGAACACGCTGCATCCCCATTAGCAATGGTGTGCTCAGATCCAGATGTAGCAACAAAGGCTTAGGAGCCCAGAAAAGCCAAGGGGTTTGTTTGTTCCAGGTCCTGGGAGAATGGGATGCTAGAACTTGGATACTACGATTTCTTAGCTAGTCCTCTGCACATCTGCTCAGTCTAGAGTGAGCTCTATCCCAAAGGTCCGCGGCAGAGCACAGGAAATGGGAATATTTTCTTTGTACTTTACTTGCTAGTCTTTAGTTCAGGGACTATCTTACCCACCTCACCCTGTCAATATCTGTTATTATGTGACCATACTTTGACCATTTTTTAAATACTTTCTCAAAATAATTTAAGATTCTTCATGTTTTAGCTTTTTCCTCAAGAGTTGTTGGAGGTATTTCTAAAATGTCACCCTGTTCAGTGAGATGTCTTCCTACTAGTATCATCTCTTAGTGTCACCATTCCAAGTCAGGTCAAGAGTTCTGAAAAAGCCACTAAGATTATCTTCGTTTCTTTATGGCACATTCAGTGATACCGTCTAGCCCTCCAGCGTCCAGTTGCACTGTCCTTTTGCTTTGACCCCTCTAAGTCCCCATTGGGACTGTGGTTAGTTTGGGGGTTTTGTTTTGGTGGTTGTTTTTTTGTTTTTCGAGACAGGATTTCTCTGTGTTGTTGTCCTGGAACTTGATCTCAAGCTAGCCTCAAACTCAGAGATCCCTCTGCCTCTGCTTTCTGAGTGCTAGGATTAAAGGTGTGCACCACCATGAGAAAACATTTTAGTGGATACTTGTCTGTAATTGCATCTGCTGTTGATATTTCTGTTCCTTTTTGCCATAGTATTTCTAAGCAAATTCTAGACCTTAATGTCATTTTATCTAAACATACTTCATTATGAACCTCTAAAATGATATATTTGTTTATAATCACAAGGATATAGTTACCTCTAGAAATTAATAATCTCCCATAGTGCTAAATCTTCTATTCTCAGCTTATAGTGCCTGTGTGGTAGGTTACTTTTTGCAGAAAATCTGTTTGAAATTGGGTGTAGACACACTGCACCTGTCTAGACAGTGTTGTGTGTTCTGATTCCTCCTTTGGAACAGTTCCCACTGTTTTTGGAAGCTTCTGGACTTGCCTTCCAGATAGACCTCATTTCTAAATTGACCCTACACTTCCACTGATGTCACATACTTTGTTCATCTTCCTGCTCCTGGTTGGAAAGAATATACTTAGCTCCAAATAGCACATTGATACTTTTGTTATGGTTATGTTAAATGTATAAATTAATCTGATAAGTGACAGCTTAGTCATGTTGAGTCTGAATGTCTAGCAATATGTGTATCTTTCATGTCTTCCAGGACCTATCTCCAAGTTCTGCTAGCATGGTACTGCACATGCCTGGTTAAACTAATGTAGATTGTTTTTATTTTAACTCTTGTAAATCCCCACTTTACAATCCTTAATGATTACATGATAGATTTGATGTTGAGACCCGTCATGTGTTTATTGGTGACCACTCGGGCCAAGTAACTATCCTCAAACTGGAACAGGAAAACTGCACACTGCTCACGTCCTTCAGAGGGCACACAGGTAAGATCTGAGCAAGGCTCCATCATAGAAAAATGTAAGTAGATGGGAAAGTATTTGTAACATACAAATGTTTGAAGATGGCAGAGAATAACCTGGGCTTGGGCAAAACTACAGATGAATCAGAAGCACTTAGCTGGTTTTAAAATGCTTCAGTAAAACCAAAAGTTTTCCTCCGTGATTCAAGCAGAAGAGGAGCCTCTCTATCTTCAGAATGCTCTATCTTCATGTTGCTGTGGAGAAGTGTGCTGGTGTGGTGATGAAGTACTTGAGACCGTGTCACAATGGCACAAAATCCAAAGACTGATAGGACACTTGTCTCAGTCACTCTTGGCGAAGTCCATGTGCACGAAAGATTCCCATGTCCAAGACAGGAAGAGGGAAGCTAGGCTACATGAGTCAGCTTCGTCTTTCTATTGGGCCTTAGGGTTACCACCCAGGGTCCCTTTATATCACCTCACATCACTACTGCGCTCAGGATCACCTCTGCAAGACACAGAATAACCATTCACAGCCCTGGAAAGACTTGAATTGATGGCAGTAGTTAATATTTTACTGCCACCTTTTGGGGTGGCGTTGGCTCCAGAAGATGTTGATTTGGGGAAACATGTTGCTGCCTGTTTTTGTGATTGTTAGTAGGCTTTGGTGTGGTTTTGTTTGTATTGGTTTTTTGGTTTTGAGAGTTTTTTTGGTAAATAACTCATGATTTAGTGTAGAGGTAATAATCCATTTAGATATCATAGAAAAATATAAGTAGGTAGGAAAGTATTTTTAACTAAATAGTGTCCATTTAGTCATAAGAGATTTTCAGGGATGGGTCAGTAAGGGGACCAGAGAGATGGCTCAGCACTTGAGAGTGCTTGTTGTTCCTGCAGAGTACACACAACTGCCAGTAACCAGATATGGGAATCCGACCTGTGTTTCAAGGCCCTGGTACCTCCTTCCATTGCTACATGCTTCCTAGTGTACTTATGTCTTGGTGATCCTGGAGTACTGAGATTGAGACTGACTACCCATCTTCTTTGCTTGTGCAAACCAGGACCCCCATCTGCTACTCACTCTTGAGATTTAGACCATCAGTACTATTGCAAGGGTGTGATTTCCCAGCCCGATGCACAGAGCTGTCTGTTCTCCCTCTGCCAGTGCTCAGTATACTCCAGATGCCTTTCTCCTAACTCCCTCTTCTCATCCCATCCCAGCCATCACCTTCAAAAGCTATCAGAGCTTTGAAATGATTCATTTATTGCCTGTTCTGTACTCTGCTACAAAGCTAAACAAACCTTTCTTTTGTCCCTTCCTACTTCTTTACACAGGAGCCAGCCTTCCTGTGGGCCCAGGCTAGCTCTCAGGATCCTCACATCACAACAGACTCACTTTGGGCACCAGCCCCTCTCCGTTTATTATACACTTAAGTTTCAAGCCCTCTCTAGCCTGTCTGTAGCCTCCTATAGCAATTCCCATGACTCTTCTAGTATATTCTTAAATTACAAGATTTACAAAACATAAAATTTACTATTTTACCCGTTTTTAAATAGTTTGGGGTGTGGAGTACTTTGCTATTATTGTGTTACCATCACCAGCATCCATCCCAGAATGCTTCATCTTGTGAGGCTGCAGCCCTCTACCCTTCGATGGTAGCCCCTCCCCCAGCACCCTTGATTCTTTCTGTGAGTGACCTCTCTCCAAGTACATCAAGTAAGTGGGTTATCTAGGACTTCTCCATTGCAGAAGGGCTGTTTGCATGCATACTGTAGCAGCTAGTTCTTACAACAATTCCCTGGCTCCTCCACAAGCTTCACCTTCCATTTGCCTTTACATCTGGTTTATATCTGTTACCTCATCTGAAGTGCTCTCCCTGAGGTGACCCATGGTCGCCTGGGATGTGTTTAAGACCTTGTTGTGCTTAAAGTTTGACAGCGTCTTCCATGGTGGCTGCTCCTTCCTGCGTTGCTGCCCTCATTCATGTCTGTGGAATAGCACACTCTGCTTGGCTTCGCACCCCCAACCCCCACCCCAGCACCTTTCTTCTGCCTCTGGCTGTTCTCAGAATTCCTAAGGCTGCCTCACTTCCCCTTCTCCTGACTCTTTGATCCTTGGAGTTGATCTCAATGAATACTCTTGGTCAGAAAGAAAAGCATAGTTGTCCTCAAATCCCTTGCAGCCCTGTGGGAGAGACAGGTTGAGCTGCAATGATACCTGCTGACAGGATGGGAAGAAGCCCCAGGCCCTCCAGAAAGAGAGCAGGCCACTTAGGTGGAAGGAGGGCATTCAGGGGAGCTGGTGCTTGAACGGAAATCCTTGAGAATGAGTGAGGGAAGTAGTGAGGGGTGCCCAGGAGAACACTGGCTCAGCCAGGGCACAGAGATTGAAGAGATTCCGCTGGCACTACTGCTTACCCTTCTGAGGGTGCACCTCTCTGTCTGAAGGAGGAGCAGACCCAATTGTGGCAAGGTGGCCAGGAAGAAAGCCACAGTCACTTTAGATGCTAAGGCTTATCCTAGACTTACTTTGCTGTCTTTGAAAAACCATTAATGAGTTTGAAGCCAAGAAACAGAGTCATCCAATCCCCTGGAGCTGGAGTTGCAGCATCCTAGTCTTTAAAAGCAGCTTATACTCTCAACTGTTCCACTTTCCCAGCTCTAGAAACCATATCTTAAAATGGTCTGTTGATGGGGGGAGGGGTAGATAGACTGTAGATAAGATGTAGGATGTTGAAAAGTCATCACAAGGGTGACTACTAGTAAGTGAGGCCTGGAACAGGGGGTTGCAGGGAAGGTGTGCCTGGTAACTAACCAGATTTGATTGGGGCAGAAGTGACCTCTTGACTCTTTAGAAGCCACTTGGGTCCCCTGAGTTCTTTGTTGTTATTGTTGAGTCCGCAGGGTAAGCAGCTGTTTCTGGCTACCATGTTTTTGGCAGGATATGGCCCAGAGTCATGTTTTATGCATGCTTGCTGTTATGTTAAAGTGTTACTTGAGTATTGGGTCTTCATCTTTCTCATAATTTGAAGCAGTCTCATCTCATTTCTATCATGAAGTATCTTTGAGGTAGATGGCATGGCTCAGGAAGGTTGTTAGCTCACACAAGAGCAAATGTAGCAGTCAAGGTGCTTCTTGCAGAAAGGAGCTGCATCAGTTGGCACAGCACAGCTACCACGAAGGCTCAGTTTACAGGGTTAGCTCTTCCTGTGTAGTAGCCTCCTCTTCTATGTCTTGTACTGTTCCAGATTTGGCCAGATACCAACCCTAGAAAGGGCTTTTAAATAATGATCAAACAAAGACCAAAGCAAGATTCATTAGGGTAGGGAAGTGTCTCTTCCATCCAAAGAGGTCCTTAGTGTTTGTAGATGGGGCCATAGTCTTTTGCCCCAACATTCTCCTTCATAGGGAGCCATGGCCATTTGCACCATGGGGTTGGGGGAAGCCCTGGGCATTGTTCCCATTGTTCTCTTTCTTGGGGAACCCTGGCCATTGGTTCTGTTGTTCTGATTGATGAGGAGCCCTGGCCATTGGCCCCATTGTGTCCTCTGATGATGTAGAAAGTCAAATGGAAATGTGGAGTAGGGAAAGAGTCAGCCCACCAGCACAGCTCTACATCAGTGGAGATCTGGAGAAGTAATTCTGTGTTCTTAGCTCCCTCTGCTGGTTTTGTTTTTTCTGGAACTAAAAGTCAAGTATCAGGATTCTTTTCTGAAGTAGTTTCTTGATACAGACTTCTACTAAAAAGCTCTAAATTGAGCTGAACAAATCAGGAAAACCTTTTTTGACCACTGTAAGTTTGACCATCAGTAGCATCTTCTTAATTTGTGTAATTTTAGTTTTGTAAGGTAAGGTCTTACTGTATAGCTCAGGCTGGTCTCAAACTCATAGTAATGCTCCTGCCTCAGCCTCCCAAGTGTGCTGGAATTACTAGTGTAAGCCACCATTCCCAATCCAAGAAATGTTCTGATTAACATGAACATATGAGAAACAGGAAGGTTTGAATGTTCTGATCACAAGCTCAGCCTTATCCACTCACTGTCTAAGAGAATCCAAAGGATTATGGTTGACTATAACAAAAGCAACTGAGCAAACCAAGAAATTCCTATGCAGATGTGCATCTTCAAACAGTTACAGTGAGAACTTTAGCTTTAGTTAAATGGACACTCACACCCATCTTTCTGTGAGGTCTGACTCTGTGTGTAGATTGCCCTGAGCTGACTAGCATCAGCTTGCTCTCTGTGGGAGTGGTGCCTACATACAGAGGTCAGTAAAAGAGGCGCAGTCCTTACCTTTACTCACCGTCAGACCAGCCTGGAATCACATCAGACTAACCGTTGCCGATAATTCAACAAGATGTTATGTAGTGGAAGTGTTGTGAAGCCCTGATGCCACCTAGGCTGCTTGCCAGCAGTCGGAGAGACTCTTGCCAGGGGCAGCAGAGTTAAAGAGTGGAATAAGGGGGTGGAGTTACACAGCTGCCCAGGAGGCTATGGCAGGGGAGTTACCTAGCCAGAGCTGGGGGTCAGCATGAGCAGCACACCAAGCCCTTGTTGTTTAAAAATAATAGTAAAGAGAGCCAGAGAGACGTCTACGTGACAGCTAAGCTTGCTGCTCTTGTAGAGGACTAGAGTTGGGTTCCCAGCACTCCTTAAGAGCCTACAGCCATCTGTAACTTCACCTTCAGGAGATTTGGCACCCCCTTTTGGCCTCCACAGGCACCCACGTGAAAGTACACACACATATTCATAGATTTTAAAAGTTGAAAAAAATAATGAAAGAAATGTGAACAGCTATTGAAATGCTTATTTCAACAAATTTATAGTATTCAGTTTAATATTAACAAATTTAAATATTCAGATAGCATTGAAGTAAATCCAGTAAGTAAAAATAACGCAATATCCATACATGTTATAGGATGTTACTCCACCAGTAACAATTATATTCATTAACACATGTGTACCAAAGATTTTACCATTTCAACTCCTGTGGTGTTTTGTATTTGTTTCGAACTGCTAGAGTATGCACTGTGGGCCTTGTGCAGGCTAGGCCGGTGTTCTGCCACTGACTGCAACCCTGGCAATTTGGTCCATTTTTAAATATTACAAGAGTTCAGGGAAGTATAACCTAGCTTCATGAGGAGACCATCATCCACTAAAGTCTGTGGTGATGAGTCTTTTCAAGCCATCCTTTCTCACAGTGTCCACAGTGGTCTAAATCTGTTGTAGTTTAAGAATCTGAGCTGTTCATCTTAACATGTTTTATGGGAACAAAATCTGTCACTTTTCCTTGTTTCCCCAAGTATAGTGGCTTCACTAGTGAAGAGGCTGCTTCAGATTCCCTAGCATCCGATGCTGAAAAGGACAACTGGGTGAAGGCATCACGTTAGCAACACTGCTTATCCATGGGAAGGTGTCTTGGCCCAGCCTCATCTGCTAGGAGGAAGGCCAAGGGCATTCATTCATTCCTATTCCTCGTTGTTCAGCTGCTGGCTCATCTGCCTATGTGTGATGAATATCTGTGTGAGCCAGGCAGGGTTGTTTATAGTGAGGACACCATAAACAAGCCCAGGCTTTGGCCTCTCGGAGCCTGTCGTCTATGAGGTAATAGCCATTCTAGGGGAAGATAGTCTGAGAGTCATGAGAACATTGGTGAGGACACCTCTAAGGATATGAGATTTAGGTAAGGCTTGGCGTGGATTGGAGAAAAATGTTTTGTACTTACATTCATATGCCCTACGTCCTGCCCTGACACTGTGCTTGGCTGCTGTTGGGGGAAGACAGAGTGCGGAAGGGTGAGGATGTGGTTAACCACATGTTGCTAGGGGAACGAACTGAGGTTCATCGTGAACAGCAGTGAGTGCAGAGGGACTTTCAGTGATCTTAAGAGTCTTCTGGGACAGTTAGCAAACTTTCCTTGATGCCTCCAAGGCATAAGACATTATTAAAGCAAGTTGGTCACTTTTAAAATGTCAGCTTCCAATAAACATGACACTATTCAATTTTCTCCAAGTATTTTTCAGTAATATTGAAAAATGTTTCTGACATTCCTAGGTATTTGTTGGCTATGTGTTCATTTCATATAGAAATTTGTATCTATTATCAGTGTTTGAGAAATGTGATTTATAAGGAGATTGCTGGAGAAGAAACTGTCATAATACTGGGCAGCCACACACTAGAGCACCTACAGCATCGTCCTGTGTAATTGATTCAGTCAGTTCTCATCCAGTAGGTCCTGAGTAGCGATCACAGTGGTTCCATCATCCCCGCTCCATATGTGAAGCATATGTGCGCACCATCCCCACTTCATATGTGAGGAGTGCGCTAGCTTCCTTTCTGTTGCTAAAACACTATGACTTATGAGAGGAAAGTGTTTATTTAAGTTAGACTTCCAGGTCACAGTCCATCACTGAGGGAAGTCAGAGCAGGAACCCAAGCATAAATCTGAAGCAGAAACAGTGGAGCAGTGCTGCTTGCTGGCTTGTTCACTGGTTCATGTTCAGCCAATTGTTGTGTGTATCTCAGGACTACCTGACTAGAGATAGTGACACCCACCATGGACTAGGTCCCTGCTTTAACAAATCAGAGACTCCCCCACAGACATACCCACAAACCAGTTCAGTCTAGATAATCTTCACTTGAGGCATCTCCTCTCAGATGACTCTAGACCAGTGTTTCTCAGTTTTCTAATGCTGTGACCCTTTAATACAGTTCCTTATGTTGTGGTGACCCCCAGCTATAAAATTATTTTTGTTGCTATTTCATAACTCTAATCTTGCTACTGTTATTAATTGTAATGTAAATAATCTGATATCTAGGATACCTGATATGCAACAAGGGTCATTGGACCCCAAAGGGGTCATGGCTCACAGGTTGAGAACCACTGTTCTAGGCTGTGTCAGGTAGACAGTTAAAGCTACATAGGACAAGGATCCTAGCACTTAGGATATAATTGATTTATAAAGAATTTGGAAACTCAAGGCCCCAAATTTCTACCTCTGATGTTGTCCCTAATTATACCTAATACTCAAATATAAAAACACATTACAGAATTCTCAAATAAAGACATGAAAATAACCAGTGTCATCTCCCTATAGGTAGAACAGTGTGCTGGCTAGCTTTATGTCAGCCTCATACAAGCCAGAGTTGGTTTGAAAGAAAAAGTCTCAATTGAGAAAATGCCCATACCAGATTGATCTGTGGTACATTTTTTTGAATGGTTATTGACGTGGGAGGTCCCTGCTCATTGTGTGCATTGCTGCCCCTCGGCTGGCAGCCCTGTGTGCTACAAGAAAGCAGACCTACTAAGCAAGCCATGAGGAATAGGTTAGTAAGCAAGCCCTCCTCCATGGTTTCTGCTTCAGTTTCTGCTTCCAGGTCCCTGCCCAGTTTGAGTCCTGTCCTGACTTCCCTCAGTGATGGACTGTTAGCTGGAAGTGGAAAATGATGGGACTCTCCCCTTCCCATGCTGCTTTAGGTCATGGCCGTGATGGTGTATGACAACGACAGAAGCCTTAGCTAAGACGAATGGTGTTCCTAAATAGGAGCAGGCGGGCAAAGCTGTGCAGAGAGAAAGGCGCTGCACACTGGTGCAATTATAAATTGTTTCAGCCTTTATAGAAGGCATTAGGGAGGGGCTTCAGAAAATTAAAGCTTCCTTCTAGGCATGGTGGCACATGCTTATAATCCTAGAACTCAGGAGACAGAGGCGAGAGGATAGCCCAAAGATTGAGGCCAGGTTAGGCTACATAGCGACACCCTGTCTCAGAATAAATGAATAAAAAATAAAATTCCACCTTATCCAGCTACTAAGGTTATATTCAAATAAAATAGAGTCCGTATACCAGAGATAGCTGCCCCCTTTGTTATAGAACCCCTCATACCTCACAAAACTAAGAAATGGGAACAGACAATCTGATTTATACATTTGATGGTGCTATCATACCATAGGAATGTTATGTGTGTACACATGTGATGGAGCTGTCATGACATAGGAATGTT